AGGTAGTGGTAGAACAAGTAGATTTTTATAAAGAGCATATGTGCTGTTATGCCTCACCAGTACTAGCCCATGCATAAACCTGTACAATACACCATTCAGAACTGCTATGAAATATTCAAATCAATTATATCTTCATAAAAACGATCATTTTCAGGTGTTTCATATAGACCTACGATATAGTGTATGTAAAAGTATTTGGTCCAAATTTATAAACAGGTGCAGCACACAGAGCCTTTTGTCTTGCAAACCTATAATTTATACTCAATTAAAATGTAGCAGCTGCACATTAGGGTAAAGTTCTCCTTTTATTTAAAACAATGAAAGCACACCAGCTGCTTTAATGCAATTGCTTGAGTTCACTGTAAGCTGGAGAGGAGGAATAGGACTGGCCTCTATGCTCAGTTAAAAGAATAAATAAAACTCCTGATACATGTGTTGTATCCCATTCACTGTATAGAGAACTAACAACTATGAATAAGACAGCGCGTAAACATGATGGTCATATATATGATAATTAATGTCACAATAGAATTTAACTTATCTATCTTGCATTTATTCTCTTACATGTGTTTGTATTGATAGAGAAGAAAACACTTGAAAAACACGCATTCTTACTGTGAGCAGCTTGCCTCTCCACAGAAATGACCTGTAACTTTGCCTGGCCTCATCAGTTGGTTGTCTTCATGGACACTGAACATTCCTGGGAGAATAATAACATCTCCATGGAGACAAGTAGGTGGCAGACCCTCAACCAGTTACAAAGGCCACTTTTACATAGTGTATGGGTTGTTTGGGCCTGTTTTTTACCTTGACATACTTTGGCCCTTGGCACTTTTGGCGCTATAGAGAAGTCTGTCAAGTGTCTTGTGCTACTCTTCACATCATTCCAGTTTCAGGTCTGAGGTTTTGAGAGCCTGTATTTCCATCACCAAGAGGATAATCCAGTGCTACTCATATGTCAGTGTGATTTAGGAGCCCCTGTGCACATACTATAATGTATGCATTAGCAGATGTTTATGCATACTGTAGACACACACAGCACAGGGAGCTTCACCCAATCGTCCCTGTGTTACTCCTCATGTTTATTGCCCAAAGTAAAGCTTCAGATTTTATAACTGGTGTAAAGGGAGAAGGTGTTTACAGCCCAAAAATCCTTAGGAACCCCTGACCCCGCTGTGGGTAGTTCTACAGAGGGTCTTTTCATAGTGTTGGAGATCAGGCCTTAGATGGTTGGCCAAACAGATCCTTTTAGGTTTTGCCTGCCATGTCTGTATTGTATCCTCCTTTTTCTATCTGTGGCTCAATATTAATGTTGCATTTTAAATGATTTTTTGCATGACTTTGACTGTGCTGACCAGTGGGTGACATCTGCCAATGGGGCATAATAACTCCAATCATATTACATAATAGGAGTTTCTCATGAACTACTGTTCGGAAGATAGAGGAGCCACAGGTTTTGAACCCTCATGCATATTGCTATTGTGTCCCTGAGCAAGACACTTCATGGGAGACTTCCTTTGAGAGGAAGAGCATCTGGTTTTAAAGCAAAAGCCAAAAGTTGAAAATTCCATAATATGCAACTCCAATTATCATATTGTATAAAGTGCAAGTAGTTTATGTATTTTGTGTTCCAGATGCCCTCCCTAATGTGGCCTCATTTATTTTTACAGGCTTTTAGAAGCATAGATTGTTGTAAAGATTTAGTTTTCACACATATTTGTATTTAGACATTACAAGCAGCATCTTATGAGCAGAAAGTACAGGATTGGTCAACATGCATTCTATTCTGTGACCTTATTGTGTGGTGTGGATTGCAGCTTTATTTCTGTTTTGTTTTGACTGACCGTTACCTCAAACCAGCAGTTAAAGTCCTAGCAACCACCATGGCTACTGAAAGAGCTCACCCTCATCTGATTGTGTCAAGTTCTGGTTTGGACTTTCTCAGAACGGTGCGGGTCCAAGGCTTTACCAGTGATGAATTGCATGACACGTAAATGTACAGAGGTTTGGAAAACTCTGAGCGCCTCTATTCCCTGAGCAGATTAACAGATGTGGGGGCTGAGACAAAGAGGGTAAGTGTGTGTGTGTATGTGTGTGTGTGTGTGTGTGTGTGTGTGTGTGTGTGTATGTGTGTATGTGTGTGTAGTAATAAAATCATAGGGTCAAATCAGAGCTGTTCTCAGGCCCCCACTGCTGCTGTGTGATTGGGGGTCCCACAGCACGCATTGTATACAAGCCATGCCGCCGGGCCATGCTTGTTGGAAAGAGTGAAGGCTAACACAAATATGTAAACAACTACATAGGCCTTAAGAGCTAAACAAAATGAATGGGAGGTCTGGATTGAACTGTGCCTTGTGTTACACCAGTGAGTGTGTGGAGAGGGGGGAGGGTATGTTTTGAGTAAGTTTGTGTTTGGTTCTTCGAAATCAGTGTACTTTATTTTTAAAGAGCTCTATAAATAAAGTTGAAATAGCTACAAAGAAGCTGTTAACTGTTGTAGGATATGAGGTGGTACTCAGGGCGGCAGTGGTTAGAACATTCACCCACCCAGCAACCTCAAGTGCATATTGTTGTTGTGTCCTTGGGCAAGACATTTCATACAGCTTGCCTATGTATACATTTGGTGTGTGAATGAGTGATTGTTTGTCTGTGGGGCAGATGACGCAATTGATAGCCTTGCCTCAGTCAGGTTACTCCAGGGCAGCTGTGGTTAGAGAAGTGGCTTACCAGCACAGGTGTGGAGTGAATGATGCTGTTTAAATGTGACTTTGAGTGTCCTAAGAATACTACATAAATCAAATGCCTTTTTATCAATTACGAGAATTTTGTACCATTTGAAGGTCCTATATTACACATAATTGCCTCTTTTAGGGTTTAGGGTCCTTATCTGCTTGTTTCTATGTCATTGTTCTGCCTGGAATGTTCCACAGAATGACATTAAACAGCTCTATCTTACATTTATTACTTTGCAGGAGGTTTAACAGCTCAAAAATACCTAGAAAAACTAACCTGTAACTTGGTCTGGTTTGGTCTCCCTGAAGATAGAAAAGTTTGATACCGTACTATGAAACATTTCAGACAAAGTAATAATATTTCCATGGAGAAAAGCATTTGACAGGCCCTCCACCAGAAAAGTTGCACAGTACACCTTTAAGCCATGTTATAATGCTGTTACCTCCTCAAAAATATACCTGGAGTCGTGTTTTGTTTCATTCACACATGTTTGAATATCCCTTTATCATTAATCAGTCTACATTTCCAGAGCTCAAAATGCTCTGTTCCACCTTGAAATGTCATGAAGGAATAGATTTCAAGTTATTTCCCTTTTGTTCAGGCGAGATTGGCAATTCCAGGGTTGAAATTATCTAAATTATTCAAGTGGAAGTGTATAGAGTTAAAAAACACAGCGAAGCATTTCCTGTATTACCACATGATATCACAAGGTTTTTGTGTTAAATGTGTCAATGAAACAAAACACAACTTCAGGTCTGTTTGTGATGAGGAATTATAACATGGAGCAGAAAATGGCATAACATGGACCCTTTAAGCCAATCAATATTTCAGCACATTGTAATCTGTATATCTCTGTAAGCCAATTGTTTACAACTGATCAGACCTCAAAATCTAGGAGTTTGGCTCCCACAAAGGCACTATAAACACTAAATTCTCTGTTGTCTGTTTATACTTGGTTACAGTGACATGAAAATGACACTTGGTGGAAATTGGAACTAATGCTCCTGTCTGAAGCAAAGGTCTCATCCCTTCCACTGCACTGAAATATAACAGCCCACACAGTTACAGAAGTACACTAAACTCTTGAAATTTGGGGAAAAAGTAATTTACATTTGGTGTATATTTACATCTGACAACTTAATTGAAAACAAAAATGTCATTCTATTTTAAAAGTGTATTTTTCCTCTGTATTTCTCTATTAGAGCTGGGTGTTAAAAGTCACTCATGCGTTTGGCTGCACTTCCCAGTCATGTGTTGATGTTGGTACAGGCTGTCCCATAAAGCCATTAGCCTGTTTTTAGCCTGTGTTGTGCCCTCTGGTCTTTGTGTCTGTCCTGCTCCATCTGTGATTGGTTGTGACAGGGAGCAATAGCGGGCACACACCGAAAAGGCATTCTCTGTGCCCATTTGTCATTTTGGATTAGCTCAAGTTGCTCACAGATGTAGGGGTAAACTCATTAAACAGAAATGAAAGCTTTTAGATGGGATATTATAGAGCATATGTGACACAAGCTTTAGGTTTGTTAGTCAATAAATCATTTGTTTTCTGACTATGCATAATACGAGTAATAGTAAGTTAACAGTGCAGTTTATGAACCTAAAGATGCACTATGTAAATTCTCTGGTCGAGAATGCATACAGTATTTCACAGTATGGCATTAAAATCCAGGGAGACATGAAGCAACTGATGTCACCAGACTAAGTTACAGGTCAGATCTGTGGATAGGTGACCCCGCTCAGTGTGAGAATGCATGTTTTTCCAAGGTACTATATATGTGAGCAATAAAAACACATAAATTAATGCCTTTCTGTGGAAAATTCCAAGTAAAGCAGTAACCTTTCCATGTAAACAAGCAGGTGGCTGCACCTTTTAAGATGCTAAGTTAATAAAATAATTTATATAATTTCATGTTTTGCTGTATTATACTTAGAGGATCTTTCAGTTTAATAATATGATGCTAACAATACCAGATGGGTAAGAACTGTTTTTAATATTAGGCATGTTGTTTATATGTATTTCTATGTAAAATGACTATGAATAATTGTTTGTCCCTGGAAAAGCTGTTAAGCTGCAAAGGAGGTAAATTTATTACTGTAAGGCCTGTTCATTTGCCCTGAGGAAGCAGCTGTTGAAATTTAAGTCATAAAAAATATGCTTGTATGAAACTAGAGCAGGCTTTTTAAACTGAAATTCAAGATGGTGCATACAGGGCTTGGATTCAGATGTTTACAAAACAATATTTAATCCCACAATATTTAATGGCTATTTGACTTTTTATCTTTCCTTTTTATTACAAATCAATATTTTCTTTTTTCATCAAAATCAAAGAATATTACTGCTCAGCTTCTGTGAATGTCAAACAGTACAAGTTCAGAAACATGACAACTGTTGTGCTAAATTCAGACCCTTTGAAAATGTCTTGTCTTTCTTCACATCTTCATTCAATATCAATTGGGCCTCATTGTTAAAGAGCACCAAGTCAAACTGTATAGAAACTGTAACTCCACACACTTTCATCTTTTGGCATTAAAAGGGCAGAAACCTAAATAAAACTGTGACTTTAACGACATCCTAATTAATATTATCATTGTTGTGGATTTTTGCTAGATTTTAAGAATACATAGGGACTTTAACTGTAATAAGCAGGCCTCATTGTGCAACCCAAACATATGGTTTGAAAATCCAAGATATATGTCACAATCCAATCCCATTTATGAGCAATCTATTACATTAAATGTTGCATAACAGACCAAATCTGGTTTTACTGTAAAATAAATCTTGTTTAAGTGGTTGTGTAACAGTTTCTTTTCCAGTATACAGTATTTTGTCCAGAAATAGTCTGAAGAAGAGTGATAGTGTCCAGTGAATGGCAGTGCGCTCCTGGATAGAGTTTCCATCACAGTTCTTCTCCTGCAGTCCTTCTGTTTTTCTTCTACGATTAGTTATATTGAATTCACAAAAAAGTTCATCATCGCCGACTGGCCCAAAGAAAGAAAAGCTTGGCTCAACTTTTGGTTCATCCACTTTCCATTTGCAAATCCAACAGTCATTCTGTCGGCTCTCCCTTCTCTGACCACAGCTATGGCTCTGGATACAGCAGCAGGTCTGCCCTTTTTCCCTTTGTGTTGGAGTATAATGCCCACTGTTCTTAAGTCCAGGGAAGAAATCCAATCTAACAAGACTGCAGGACAAAATGCTTGATTTCACAATGGAGGCAATTTAAGATCAGCTAGCTCAGAGTTTTACTCTGATTTTCTGCTTAAATTAACATTTCCAATTGCTTGGGTTTATCTTTATTCAAGATGCAGAAAGGTACAAAAATACTGAAAACTAATGTGAGGGTCAATCATTTAAATATACAATGTTAAATTACTTCCCAAGTGTCTCTGAGCTGTGAGGCCACAGTTGCAAAAGTTTTGATCACAGCTAAAAGTGTAACCCCATAAGACTGGAGGCGCCTCAGCTGCACTTGCAGGACTTGACAATCATGTTGGAGAGCTGCTCCACTTTGGGGGTCCGTCCAGAGTAGTACAGAATAGTGAGGGGCTCCAGTTCCTGAGGAACACAGCAGGGAGAGGCTGAAGCCTCGGGGTTCAGAGTGTTGTACAGGCTCAGCAGCTTTAAGAACAAATAAGAAAAACACAAAATAAATTTACTTAGTACCTTTCATATTAAATTGCATCTAAGGAAGAGTAAATCATGCTTTATGTAATGCAGTCAGTTAAGTAAGCACTAAGCACAGTTGTGCCTCTTACTGAGCTGTGCGTGGTGTCTGCGCTGCGCAGGTACGGGCATGGCCCAGAGCAGTAGTTGGCATCGTAACCACTGGGCTCATGAATCCATTTCCAGTCCAAGTCTCGACGGAAATCAATGTGAAGCTTTCGAACACAGCAGCTCTCCTCTGTGGTCCTGTGGGGAAAAAAATCATTTTTACTTTAGACTGCACTGGAATGAAGATAAAAGGCTTTAGAGAAGACTTTATGGGCAGTGCCATTCATAAATAAACCGTAAACATCTCGTACGAGAAACAGTAGTTTGTGTCCAAGGCTCTCTTGCGTCTACGTGTGGACTGTGTGTCGAGGCGATGAGGGGGGATCATCATCAGTATCAGGTGAGGCAAAGACTGGTCCTTTTTCTTTAAATTATCCAGGTCCAAGCGACTCTGCTCCTCTTCTCCATCAATCCCTTTGAAAGAAAGTCTCATGATAATTACCCAAAAAGCATAAAGCAGATACACTAACATGAATTACAAGTATTGTGTTGTATAAAATTGCATTATCTTATGCAGTGCTTTCTGAGTGCACCATTACCTTTAAACTTGACTTCCAGAACCTCATTCTCATCAATGATGTCACCATTAGGGCTGAATGTGTTGCATGGGCAGTGCACACTGATCTCCAAACCCATGTTGGAGCCTACAAAAACAGTTTAAAAAACAGTAGAGAATAGATGAACAGAGAAACATCAACATAAAGAGACACATATCATCATAAAGATAAAAAAAGAGAAGTAACTGTTACCTCTGTTCATGAGCCATTCTCGCACTGTTTCAGTCACATCAAAAGACACCCACTCTGGGGTGCCTTTGGTCAATATGTTTTTTGCTCCAATATAGCGCTGTTTTCGAATGTGTTCATTTGGCCTGAGAATCTGAAACCAGGGCCACAGGTTGTTGTTTTATTTCAATAATGGCATAATAGTAATCATAATTACTGTTGAAATAATTTACTTCTGATCTCTGTACCTTAACTATCTGAACATATTTGTTTTCTTTTCACAGTAGTAAACTCAAACACTATTGTTGCTTACTCCTCAGGAACTAGTCACTAGGTGGCGCTCTTTTACATCTAATATTTATCATGTGTGCAGCAAATACATTTACCTTCATATTCATCTTACCACATAAAGTAAATCAAGATTATGGAAAAGACTTCCACATTCACAGAGTTGTTTAAGTCAAAAAGCACAATGAAAAAGTACCTTTACACACCTGGTAGAGCTCAATCCGCTGTTCGTTCCTTTTGGCACTGGAATTCGGGATCCTTAAAGCACGAAACTCAGCTCTGAAGAGGTTGGTGGAGTTCCTCTCCATGGCAGAAACATTAAAACGGAAAATCTTGGAGGTGACTCCTTTTATACAGTGGGTTAGATCATCTGAAACAAAACAATCCAAACACAACAATAGGCATTACAATATTTAATCCTTCTATAAATCACTTGGTACTCAATGTGTGTATGTAGCTTTGTACCTCTACCCTCTTACCATGTGAGTGTCCAACTAATATCTTTGAACCCACCCAAACCTCTCCACCCACCAACCCCGGCCACTGATTTATGCCAGATTCTGCATGCACTGTGAAGCAGAGGTATATGATATACATAGAGTATATATATCCTCAACTTTGTCTTTGTTTTATGATGACTATACTATGTTAACCTTTTTAGGTTATAAACTCAAAAACTCCAGTTTAAGTTTTGCTGATTTGAACACCTGTTGATTTCAAAGGCCCTGTGATGCAACAGTCCTGGCTTAAAGCGCAGAGTCTTTCTGTACTTTTTTTCTTTCACGCAACATTCATCGCTTTCCTGTGTTTTTATCTGATGCTGCTGCTTCTCCAGCTTCTAGACTTTCATCTTATGGAAGAGGAGGTTGTGCCAAAGAGTGGTTTGAATAAAAATATACTGCAGGCTACTAATGTATATTTGAGTGGCGGTGATGACACACACACACTGACAATAGCATATGGGTTTAACAGTAAATGATGTCTCACTGGAAAGGCCACCCGCGTTCAGCTTTTGTAAAGACGTCACGTTGAGATTAAACTCCATGTGAAGGCAGTGGGCTCTGTGTGTCAGGGTTTCCCTGGACCCCACAGAGGAGGAAGCCCTGCTACTTCAGTTTCCCATTTTACCGTCTACTACTGTTCATTTTTCCCACTGTGTACACCCCTAAGGCAGCCTGTCTGCTCCGGCAGATGTCCCCTCTTATTTGGGTTTGACTGGAAAGGAAATGGGAACATCTGGGAAGAAGGACTAAACCCACAAAAGAAAAACAACTACAGTAGACAAATGATGTCGCATGAAATATTGCGCACACCTCACTGTAAGCTCCCAGCTGTAGCAGCAAAGAAAATATTTCGATGAAAAAACAAACATACTCGTGCTTACACAGTATTGCGTTATTTTGTCTCCTAAAAGGTGCGTAATTACGCAGTCATCTTACGTAGAACCAAAATATAAAACGTGCTGGCGAAGTACATTGGCCTACTCACTGTTTTCCTGTGGTCCATAGAGCATGTTGAACTTGTAGATCTCTTTAGCGTAGTACTCCGTCTCAGTGTTGTCCTGACCGCAGTTCTGCTGCCGCTCCTTCCCGAGCTGCTCAAGCAGCTCCTTGGTGCTGTTGTACAGCGCCTGGATTTGATCAGGGATTTTGCTCGGTCCCATGGATTTGGGGGGACTTGTTAGGCGAAGTTTGCTCAGGATTTGACCGCGTATGGCCTCAACCCTCTTTCTCTTCACATGATCAATATCTACGGTGGCACAGGTCGACAAGGCTGAGCTCAGCGTTGCGCAGTGTAGGAGGAGGATAAACAAGACGACTTTACCCAAATCCATCTTTGTGCGTTTGCTGATGAACGAGCTCAAATTTAGCCTATGTTCGGTGACAGCAAGAGTAATGCACGGAGCCTGCTGCTTCAATTCTACAATTTAATAAAAATGCAACTATATGTCTTTCTTGTGAAGCTGCTCCGAAAACAACCATCCACACATTTTGCTAAGTGAGACATTAAAGTCCATCCCGGCATGAGCGTCCACGTGTGCTGTCCGGCAGAGAGCGGTGGTCAGAAAAGAGCGCACCTTTTCTCTTTATTCTCGGGTTGATCCTCTCCATGTACGCAGCTCCGAGACTTGACACATCCCGCTCGTGTTTTTAAACACGTGTTTTTAAAGAAACGAGCCGTTGAATGTCAGATCGATAAGGACTAAACACTTTGTGCAATTCGCGTGAACTTAAGCGATCTGTTTTATAGTGGGCTACCACAACTTTCTGACGTGGGACGGAGGAGGGACCGCCGGCTGGACTCGAGCCTCATTCAAGCATCGCAAAGGAACGCGTGTTGACTGAAAAAAAGAAAATATGACACTATAAATGGCCCAAGCCTATTATTAGGCCAACTCTAATCGGTTGAACAAAATGAACTTCACGCGTGAAAAAATAACTATTTTGTACTAATATAAATTTTGTTGTTTTTATATTTCCTGACCATTTTCACTTATTGCCATAACGTTCATATGGCTCTGTGGTTGCCTGCATACATCTAGGCGTATTGGACTTGTAAGCCTAGTTTAAATTACTAGGCCTACTAATTATTTGATAATCCTACATAAAATAGGCCGCTGTATTATCAAAAGAAGTGTGCAATTAACTTAACAGTAAACACTAAGAAATAACCTTTTATTAAATTCATAATCAAGATACTGATGACTTTCAATGCAATATAGTTTTTGTTCAGATAGTCACAATATGTATCCTTGGACAGTTTTATCAGGATAGATTTTCCCATGATCCTGATCATTCCACGTCCTCTTAAATGCAATGTTTGTTTTACTGGAGTGCAGTGGTTTTATGTGAGGCCCTTTTGAAGTCTTTAATTTGATTGAATTATACATAGCTGAGAGAGAAATATGAGTGTGTTCTATTTTAGAGCAGCATTCATTCATCCACCCATGGCACAGTTAACCCAAACATAGATTCTGCTGTTTCACCTCTGAAGTGCTCCACACTTTTTGCTACATTATTTTAATGTCCAACTTTGGAAACAATATCCAGGAAATTGGTCACCTGCTTGGAGGTGCTCCTTAAGTTTAAATACAAAATATACCGAAAGTTTATAATATAGTTTTTGTGTAAAGTGTACATATGTGAAATATTACCAATTATCACTCAGACAAAAAAAAATCTATTAATTTATCTACACCTGTCCTTTCCTATGCATCAGAATAAGTATTGGCAGTTCTCCATTAAGCCACCAGGTGATGCTGCTTGACAAACAATACAACATGTAGTCACCGTTCTGAACCAAATCAGTCCCACTAATAATAATTCAAGTTAATGAAATAAACAGTTCAATGCACATCATAAACTTATATAAATAACAGCATATTTACATACATGAAAAAAATGAAATTTCGATCAGATATTAATAATATTAGTACAGCCATCACAAAATGAATATAAAAACATAACAAGTTTGTAGTTATTATAATTTCATGACAGTTTATTGCTTGTGTAATGGTTTTCATGTCCAGACCCGACCCGAGACAGACACTATTATGGGACAGTGTTGGCGGAATAGAAGTCTCCAATGCTCTCATTCCACCCTCATATTTTGTAGGTTTCCGAACTGTCTGGGGACTCCATGAACCAGTCAGATCTCTCCATTCAAGTTTAGCCTCTGCTCAGGAGCGGCCCCCAGCGCTGAGCTCACGGCTGCTTCGGGTTTGAGTGACTCACTCCCCGGCAATCTCTCTGTCTCGAGTCGCACACAGAAAAGGAATGCAGCCCCCGACCAAATGATGAAAATAAAAACACATGCCGCTTCAACGGGAGGGAAAATGTCCTCATATTTCCTAAATGTAGGGTAGATTCCTGCTTACTCTTCATGGCCAAGTCGTAACTGCTACCAGGGCTTTCTGACCATTCAAGCATTGAGTCAGACTGCTAGTCCTGGAAACACATGGGCAGACAAACCCAAATACTACCCAACCATAGTTCACAGAATACACAGTGTAATGTGCCAGCAAAGTCTAGTCGGCTGATTTTAGGGGTAACAGGCGATGAGTCAGACTGGGGCAGACATTTTGGAAGGATCACCACCGGGAGACCCCAAAACGCACTCCACTCATACTTTTAAAATTACTTCCTTGATTTGACCACAGTCTGAATCATAGTTTTACTTACTAAATGTATACGAGACTACATTATCTGAGATGTCTAGACGATGACCAAAAGTTAGGTCATGTGGAATTGTTGTGTCTCTATCTGAAACCTCTAGTATTATTAAACATTTTATTACTAGCATGTCATCAGCGTAAATTAAATTTATCATAAAAATGCTTAAGGTGGGTGCTCACTAAATATATGTAGTCAAATGACAAAAACAGTATACACAGTATATTCTACAAAAACAACACTATTGCTCTGTGATTATTATTGTCAAAATACACAAAAGTATAAATGGGCAAAAGCACGTTATTTCCCACCGCAAGTTTATTATTCACTATTTGATGCATTGGTACACTACCGAAGTTGTTAAGCTACAGTTGTGTTGTCTTCATTTTAAGAAAGATTTTATTAAAGACAATATGTACAATGAATGCCACCTAACTGTTGTGTGTATAGGCTCTCAGCATGTGAAGTGGTGAACAAAGCACATCTCAGCAGGCTAAACAGTATTTTGAATACTTAATTTGGACAGATTTGAAAAGGTCAAAACTGGTGTCATTACAGGGGCTATATTTAACTTCCCAAAAGGTTTGCACAGACACCAAAGGTCAAAATTAAATTGAATTAAATTATTATTCCTATTTTGTAAGATAAACATATAATTTTATGTTTATAATTTTCAAAGCTATTGTTATAAATCCATCATGCCACTGACATGTATAATAGTACTGTATAAACCTGACTATATTTACACACATTGAAACAGAATAGTCTCCGTAGCTGTCCACGGTGGTGGTCTGTGTCAGTGCGCTCTCTGTGATGGCTCAGTCCCATGCGACGCTGCAGTGTGCTGATCTGATGTCACAGAGGTGAAGACTGTTTACTTTACATCTGGGGCTAAAGGGCTGGACAAGTGCTGACTTAGGCCTTTTGGGAACCAGAGGACAAGGTGTCATTGGGCCCCTGCATGAATATGAAATAGCCACGACCATCATGTTGATTCACAGTAATACTGTCTGCCGCGCTTAAACACTTTTAGCATTTGTGATAAGGACTTTATGAGAGTAAGGTGGAAGAAAGTTGCTGTCCTCTGAGATGTCTTATGTGATTACTAAAGACAGGTTCATGTGAGTTTGTTTGTCCGTAATCCCAGTTTTCAGTTTATTTATGTTACCCAACCATGCAGGATTGTTTTCCCTGGCCATTTCCACTATTGGCTAAATGTTGCAGCTTAAAATTATGTGAAATGTAATATTTGATGCTGTTTAATACTGTTGTTGCTATGCTAATATCTGTGTATTCAAACCCATGGATAAACATTTTAGATAAAATTGACTTTTCCTATGAAGCAGATGGCGTTCCATTTTCAACATTGACCTTCCATACTTCATTCTTTCCTGTAAGTGCTGCAGTTTGTTAACAAGGAACTTGTTAACCTTACAAAAAGGAGATTAAAAACAGCAACTATAACAGTAATACATGCCAAAGGTTGTGTTAATATTTCGGAAGTGGAGCAGAAATAGTTTCTCACACTAGACATTGTTACGTAAACGTAGTGTGGAGTGCTCTGGTCTGGTTAGCGCTGACCTCCTTGTGCTGAGTCTAGACAGGAAGCTGCTCCGTGCCAGATTTGGGATTTCTCTCTCACACTCTCACTATACAGACAAATGCTCACCAGTCTATGTACCTCAATATTTTAGAAGGCCATTCAAAAGGGGAAATGTGAAAAATAAAATGCATGATCACATCATGGTAGTATTCATATCATTCGTTTGATCAAGGCAGTCTTTTGAAGTAGGGTTTAAGGTAATAAATCAGGAATGCCTTTAGGATGATTGTTTAAATGTTAATACTGTATATACGGGCAAGATGATTTTCTGTTTAAAAGGGCAACATTTTTAGTTTGTTCTATTCTTCTTATTGATTTTGTTTTACCTGAAATGTTTCACAAAATTGCATAAAACTTAGCTTTCTCCATGGCAGGCGACTCCCTTAAATCAATATATTCCTTCAATAAATATTGAATGTATTAATTTAATTATTATTTGTCAAGTCTAGAATGATATCTCTTTTACAAACAAAATCAAATTTCTCTCACCTCAGATTAACAGAGTTTAATGCTTAACTCACTGATACAGAAAATGAAACAGAAATCCATGATATTTCTCAGTCCCCTGTGATATTTTTTTCCTCGTAAGCAGCCATATATGTTTTGATACAGACAGACCATATCTGTCCCTGATTGGCTAATCCACCTGTCAATCATGTGCGTCTGAACTTGCAGAGATTCACTGGTGACCAGAGTAACATCTTCGAAAAGTACTGAAGAAGAGTGTATTGGATCTAATAATCTAATAAAGGCCTAATAATTACTATTTTGCCATTTTAATTCTTGTTTCTGTTTATGCCAAGAAACTGTGCAATGTCTGTCACATCTAGAGCATATTTCTGTCTGTATTTTAATATATTTTCACCACACCAGTATTTATGATGGATCTGAGGCTTATGTGAAAAGTTCATCTCGTCCTTCCCAGGTACAGTGGCACACAGCGTCCTGTAGCGCTTAGCTAAATTAAAGTGAGCCCCCACTGTTCTCATCTGCTCACCTGTAGCCCCTGCCAGGACCAGCCACGACCTTTGACCTCACACAGATGGGTCCGCATAATCAGACATGGGCACACACGGCTTAGTGCCACATTGGACATATTTGATGGGTAGTTATAGAGAATGTGATGATTGTATGTATATGATATAATGTGCTGCCTTTTCTATGAGAGGATGTGCTTCTGTCTCTGTTCCTCTGTCAGGCTCATGTGTTGTGCGTTAAGTGTAAAGATAAATATTCATTCAATGAAAACAGTGAATGTGGTATGTTTGGATTGAAGACAGTGACCCTTGTGTTTTTTATGGTTGAATAACAGTACCTTTCACTATTTGTATGAATATGCAATCATGGGAGTGAGAGATATAAACATCAGCAGTACTATCGACCTTTTCCCAGTTAAATGTAGGATAAAAGAGAGGATTTGTGTAGCATGTGGCTGTTCTCAGCAGCCATCTTTA